ACGATTTTCCGTATGATCTTGTATGATCATACAAGATATTGATATAAGATCGGACAAGAACGTACAAGAATCTGAGTCTGATCTTAGCGTCTGATTTGTTGCCCTGGGTATATAAACAGAAAGCGCAAAACACGCTGCATCTTTTGGTATATTTATATTGGACATCATTGTACGCGCTCGACAATCTTTTGATTTCTAAATTAATGAACTGATAGTACCATCCCATCGCCGATATCAATTCATAATAAGTTTATGAGCACCAACGATCTGAAATCGTTTAGATATTGCTTTAAAAGCTGGGGGTGTGCAAATTCACTATCCATACCAACAGTCACCCAACACGTGCCTGTCAGCATGACATGTTGGGCGATCTGATTTCATTTGTAACTGGATAGCTTCAAACTTTACATAAGCAAAAGAAACGCTAACTTTACTCGGCGTGTTAATTCCAATTTCTGTATAAAAAGAGCACTACCTAAATATAAGCTGTCAGTCATCAGAACTACTCGAATTTATATTTAATGTAAAAAAAGTAGCAAACCAATGAAATCCATTTCATACGCGCTGCATATTGTAGCAAACAAAAATGTCACTTTTTTTCTCATCTGTTTTTCAATCTTTAAACTGTATTTTATGTTCAATGTAAATATACCAAAAAATGCAGCGTGTTCTGGGCTTTCTGTCTTTATATAGTACGTTAAAAAATAAAAGAACTATAGTAATGAAAACAAAAAGAAACAAAGGGGGAGATTCAATTGGCCTCGATACTAATTTAAAAGATCGAGATTGTCAAAACTCATTTGCATTCTGTCTTCTGAATAAGCAACATACAATTTATTCTTTCTCATCGACACTTGTACAACATCGTTAGAAATGGGTGCTACAAAAATGTTCCTATACATAACTTTTCTAGTTCTTTTACTTTCTGTAACTTGTTTTGCACGACCAATGACACGAAGTCAAGAGCAACAGTTTTATATTCGTCAATTGCTCGATTTCTTATTCGATCAAAAACGTGATGATGGAAGTTATGGACAAAATTCTGGTGGCCCTGTTGCTAGTATTGACGGTTAACTCAACTCAGGTATTTTATATTAATATAAAATGTTTTAGTGGTAAATCAATGAAATAATATTGTTTACCAAATCAACTAGCAAGCAAGTGATACTTCCCCAGGTCAATGATTCCGGACAACAGATCCTGCAGGAACCGGCAGGAAAATGCGGGAAAATTCACCGTATCCTGCAGGAAAACACCGGAAGTCGCCGGAACTGGGTTGCAGTATTCCGGCCGGAAATTCTCCGTATTTTTTCCGGTGAC